GAAAGTCCCAAGGACTTACTCCCGACGGACAAACCCGATCAAGCCCCGCCCTCCAACCCCGCCATCACTTCAATCCTCGACGAGTTCAGGGACGTCTTTCCCGAGTCCTTACCCGCCGGACTACCTCCGGATCGTGGCGTATCGCATACCATCGATTTGGAACCCGGACATTCTCCTCCTTGCCGCCCTCCATACCAACTCTCTGTCCCCGAAGCCGAAGAAATGAAACGGCAACTCTGTGAACTCGTTGAAAAAGGGTTCATTAAGCCAAGTTCATCCCCCTTCGGAACCAGCTGCCTTTTCGTCAAGAAAGGTGGAACTTCGGAACTCCGCATGTGCACAGACTACCGCGCCTTGAACCGGATCACGATCAAGAACAAGTACCCCCTACCTCGGATTTTCGAGCTCCTTGATCGKCTCCGTGGGGCCAAGTACTTTACCAAGATCGACCTTCGTAGTGGCTTCCACCAGATYCGTATCCGCGAGGAGGACACTCACAAGACCGCCTTCCGCTCTCGGTTTGGGCACTACGAGTTCCTCGTGATGCCATTCGGACTCACCAATGCCCCCGCTACCTTCCAATCCACCATGAACCACATCTTCCGCAACCTCCTCGAAGTCTGTGTCGTTGTCTACCTTGATGACATCCTTGTCTTCAGCCCCACCTTCGAGTCCCACCTTCAGCACCTCCGCCAAGTCCTCGCGATCCTCCGAGAGCAAAAATTCTACGCCAAGCTCAGCAAATGTACGTTTGCCGCTTCGAGCGTCGAATACCTCGGCCATATTGTCTCCGATGAAGGCATCCGTATGGACCCCTCGAAGGTCACAGCCCTCGTCGAGTACCCCCCACCCAAGACCCTCCTCCAACTCCGTTCCTTCCTTGGCCTTGCCAACTATTACCGCTTGTTCATTCGCAACTTTTCCGATATCTCTTACCCTCTCCACGAACTCACCCGCAAGGACGAGCCTTTCCATGGGAACGATCGCCGCCAACAAGCTTTCGACTTACTCAAGCAAACCATCACCACGACCCCTGTCCTCAAGATCGCCGACCTCACTCGCCATTTCTATGTCACCACTGACGCCTCCGACTTCGCCATCGGAGCCGTACTGTCCCAACATTTCCCCCGCGACACCGCCGAGACCCCCTCCATCAAGGACTCGCCCACTCACCCCGAGGCTCCACCTGGCGAATACCCTATCGCCTTCGCAAGCAAGAAGCTCCTGCCCGCGGAGATGAATTACCCCTCCAACGAGAAGGAACTCCTCGCCATGATTCACGCCCTCACAGTCTGGCGCCCGTACCTCGACGGGCAATACTTCACCATCCGCACTGACAACACCATCGTCTCCTCCATCCTCTCCAAGAAAGATATCACTCCACGCCAAGCCCGCTGGCTAGGCTTCCTTGCCTAGTTCACATTCACCATTTGCCATACCCCCGACAAAAGCAACCGCGTTGCCGATGCCCTCTCGCGACGACCCGACCACAAGCCCCCCGAGAAAGTCTACGCCACCATGACTCATATTCAACTCCTTCCATGGCTTCATCATCGATACACCCAAGGCTATCTCTCCTGCTCAGACTTCGCCACCATTTACAACAAGCTCCGCGATCTTGACTCAGTTCCCCACTACTCCCTTCACAACAATCTCCTCTACATCGATACCAAAGGCACTTGCGGACTTTGCATCCCCGACGGACGAGGCCTCCGTACTCAGCTCTTGGCCGAGCACCACGACGCCAAGACCGCAGGACATCTCGGTTTCCAGAAGACCTTCGACACCATCTCCCGCTACTTCTACTGGCCTTTCCTACTCGCCGACGTTAAGGCATACATTCGCTCGTGTCCCACGTGTCAAGCTGTCAACCCCTCGAACCGGGCCAAACCCGGCAAGCTCCAATCATTGCCCATCCCAACTCACCGGTGGCAGTCCATCTCCATGGACTTCGTGTGCGGCCTCCCCAATAC